GGAAGGAAGGAAGGAAGGAAGGAAGGAAGGAAGGAAGGAAGGAAAAAGTTGCTTCTCCACTTACCCTCTTCTGGTCTGATCATCCATCCCCCTACATCTCCTACCCCCATTCCATAACTCTTTCTCTATATGCCTTTCTATCCATCTACTTATCCACAATGATCTCACAGATCAGGAGGTAGAAAGGTGCTCAGAAACCATCTTGCCCAAACCCTTAATTTTACAGATGAGGAAACTCAGGCCCAGAAAGGTTAAATAATTTACCTAAAACCATATAGCCAATAAGCAACAAGAGGCAGGATTTGAACTCATCAGAGCCAGCGCTTTGTCCACTGGGCCATGTTGCCTCATCCACCTGTCTACCTAGCATCCATCCATCTATCCTTCCATCTACCCATGCTTCCACCTATCTGCTTACAGTGTACTTATCTACCCACCTGTTGATCCAGTCAATAATCATTTATTAAGTGTCTACTATTTTCCAGGCACAGGGTTAAGCACTGGGGATACAAAAAGAGATAAAAGATAGTCCCTGCCCTCAAGGAGCTTACAACCTAGTGAGGGAGACAACAAGCAACAAATATGTACAAACAAGCTATATATAGTATAAACAGGAAAAAATGAAAGAAGGAAGACACTAGAATTAAAAAGGTGATTGGGAAAGACCCATCTCTGCCTCCATTTACCTACTTAATTAGGAGGAATGATGAGAACTGTGGAGGGAAGTGACTACTCCCTCTTAGAATTTATGATGGAGAAGGAGAAGAAATCAGGCCACATGTAACCTGACATGTCCTAGATTTGGAGAAAGCAGATTGCAAAGAGTGCAAAGCAAAGCCAGGTGGGACCTCATGGAGGACAGGAGTTCTTAAATTTTGTGTATTTGTGTATCACGGATCCTTTTGGCAGTCTGGTGAAGCCTATGGGCCCTTTCTCAAATAATATTTTTAAGTGTGTGAAATAAAACACAGAGAAATACAAAGGAAATCAATTATATTGAAATACAGTCACATACATATATTATATATATTTTACATACATATACACATACAACCTAGGTTTGATGGAGGATAATTATTATTGTTGTTGTTCAGTTGTTTTTCAGTCATGTCTGACTTTTGTGGCCCCATTTGCCCAGGGTCACACAACTAGTAAGTATCTGAAGTTGGATTTGAATTCAGGTCTTTCTGACTTTAGGTCCAATGTCCTACCCACTGCTCCCCCAGCTGCCAGAGGATTGCAGATGTACAAAGGTACAAAAAAACAACAAAAGGTCAATTGACCAACCCATGTGATTGGCATGGCATGCCCAGCAGCCCTGCCCCTCCAGCTCCTAAAAGTCCTATGCAGACCTTGAGAATAAACAGACATATCATCTATGAAGAAAGAGGAGGACGAGGAGGAGGAGGAGGAAGAGGAGGAAGAAGAGGAGAAGGAGAAAGAAGAAAGGGAGGAGAAGAAAGGAGCTTTGCTCTTTAAAGTTTGCAAAGTGCTTTATGCATTCACTCATGCCTTATAACACATCAGAGACATAAGCACTACAGGCATTATTGTTCCCATCTCACAAATGAGAAAACTGAGGTTCAGAGAGGGTTAAGTGACTTGCCCAGCCAGCTACATCTGATGCTTACAGCATTAATAGAATTCCAATTCAGGTCTTCTTGACTGAAGCCCAGAAATCTAGCCACTGCACCGTACTATCTCTCTCCCTCTGGCTATCTATCATTCACAGTCCACATGCAGAAGCTAGACAACTTGTACACGAGCCCTCCTAACATCAACGTGACAGATAAGAGCTGTCCAAGTGCTAACGAGGCCTTTGAGTCATGGCATCTGAGCTAGGAGAAGTTAAGTCAAGTCAGCGAACATTTATTAAACACCTAGCGTGTATTAAGCACTATACTGTCAGAAAGGATGACCAGTTTTCGTAAAGTGCTTTACCAACCTTAAAGTGTGATATCAAAGCTAGCTGTTATTACCATCATCATCACATCCAGGCAAGAATGTCAAGGGAAGAGGATTTTATTTTATTTTGTTTTGTTTTGTAGAATTACAAGCCAGGCAGAGGAATAGCGCCTGGAGGTGAGGAAAGGGGGCACATGGAGGAGACAGAGGACAGGGAAGCTAACTTTCAGCACCACAGTTTGGGAAGATCATTGATGGTGAGTGTTCAGGAGGGACACCAGGCTGGTGGCGGGTTTCTAGTCTGGGCCCTGTGAGGGTGGGCTGCAGAGAGAGAGAGAGAGAGAGAGCATGCTACACCCAGAGAAGGGAAGGCTCAGGAGAACATGGTACCTGCCCTCAAGTACAAGAAGGGTTATGCCAGGAAAGGATAAAACTCACTCTACTCAGATCCTGAGGACAAGACCCGAAACAATTGTGGGGGAGGCAGAGAGATGCAAAGAGGCGAAGATGTAGGTTTGATTTCAGGAGAACAACTGGACCTCAGCCCACATGAAATAGGCAGTGGGCTTCCTCTCCCTGGGGGACTTCAAGTCACAGCTGGGTATGATGGGGTGAGGATACTTTTCGTGTCAGATTGGAAGAGACAGTAGCTGAGAAATTCTACCTGTGAAAGTCTGGGATTCTGTGAATTCTGAGCAGGAGAAACCATGGGACTTCAGCCTAGTTTTCCAGATATACTTTCTCCCATTAAATCATAAGCTCCTTTGGGGTAGGGACTGTCTTTATTTTTCTCATTTGGACCCCCAGTGTCTGTACCTTTAATAAATGGCTATTGAAATGAATTGCATTACTTGATAGGACTCTGTCACTCCCCTCCTTAAGAATCCTCTGTGGTTCCCTCTTGCCTCTAGGACATTTTTTGAAGAATCCCACTTACCCAAATAATCATCAAAGGAGAACTTGTCATTGTCCCAGATCTGGAATATGACATTGGCAGGCATCTTGCATTCCATCTTGTCCAGACTCCAAAAGTGCTCCTGTAACCCAGGCCAGGGAGGGAAGAAAAGAGAGAGTCAGATATGGCACAGGACACGGCACCCCTGGGTTGGAGAGCTGTGCAAAGGAGAGAAGTCTCCAGCATCATTCAGAAAGAGAGAAGGGAAGCAGTTTGACAGAGGAGAGAAGGAAGGTGGTTCCAGCATGGAGGTTCTGAGATAGTGGAGGAGCAGAATCCTGGGAAGGGAGTGACCAGGGGCTGCCAAGTGACAAGTGAGGCTCACTTTCCCAACAAGCTACAGAGTAAGGTTAGTGCATGAGATAGAGACTGTGGGCAAACCAGAGGTTGGGCCCTTCCCCTACTCTCTGGAAGGAGACAGATGGAAGCCAAATCCCAAGTCACCTTCCTTTCCCCATCAGAGAACACCCACAGCAGAGTCACTCTCCCAAAGGGGGCCAAGACTATGGCTAGAAACAACTTTGGAAGAGGAGTTTAGAGAAATCTCCATTCTGCGAGGTTGCCAGATCACTTCTCTGGGCTCGTTTCCCCACCAGTAAAATGTGGGGGTTGGGACTGGTGATCTCTGAGGCACTACCAGCTCCAACATTCTATGACCCCATAAGCTTCAGCCTACCTTGGGCCTGAATAGGACCCCCTCCTTTGAACCTCAAAAGACCCTGGCAGTTCTAGGCCATTTTACTGCATACCTTGTCTCTCTATGTAGAATGGAAACTCTTTGAGGGCAGGAATCATTTCTCTCTTATCTTCGTATCCCTGGCATCTAACCTAGTCCCTGGGTACACAGCAGGAGCTAAATAAATGCTTGTTGATTGCTATTGCTGTCATTATTACTGTTGCTGCTGTTCAGTCATGTTTGACAATTCATGACTTCACTTGGGGTTTTCTTGGCAAAGATACTGGAGTGGTTTGCTGTTTCCTTCTCCAACTCATTTTGTAGATAAGGAACTGGGGCAAGCGGGGTGAAGTGACTTGAGCAGGGTCACACAGCTGGTAAGTGAGGCTAGATTTGAATTTACCACCGCCTCAAATGCACCATTGGGCCTATGAACCTCATTAGCTCAGTGGTTACGGTATGGTGTTGTTAATAGGGTCCAAGGTCTGTCTGCGGCAGCTAGTTCTCTCTCCTCTATGTTCCCCAGCCACAGAGTAACTCCTAAACCTGGCCACAAGCTGATGCATTAACAACAACTTACTTTCTACAGTACCTTAATCCATCAATCAGCCAGCATGTATTAAGTGCCTACTGTACACCAGGCACTGTGCTAGGTGACAGAGGTTCGCGAAATACATTTCATACTTTATGTGATTTTATCCTCACAACAGACCTTGGAGGCTGGTACACTTCAATGGGGCGGTCACTCACTGCAAGGGTACAGATCACAAGCCATCCGTTTGTTTTCACCCTGCATGAGGCTTGTCCGTGGACTCCCTCAAATCTTGCACAGGAGGATTACCCGTGCTGAGGGTCTTGGTGTAATATTAGCATTATTACCCTTATTTTATGGATATGGAAACTGAGGCTCTGTTGTCCAGGGTAATCCAGCTACCATATGTCACAGGCAGGATTTGAACCAGAAGTTTCTTTCCCTACATCAGGCTGTCTCTCAACCCTGGGATCAGGAGGGTGTTTTACTGCAGCAATAGATTGACCCCCAAACCTCAGACATTGGCTGATCTGTGACCTTGGCTCCAGACTGATTGCTGACAATGACCGAATCCACAGAATGAGCCTCACTCTGGCCTCAGAGGGTGCCCTCAGTCTCCCTTCTGGTCATAGCCTCATCTCTGTCCTCTGCCCCCTGTGCCCAGCTCTCTCCCTTGCCTGGGCCTCAGGCTGACTGGGGCTCCCTCCCGCAGGTGGTTCCCCTCTCTGGCGTGGGTTTTATGGCCAGCTCAGGCCAGTCTGCACTCTAGCCCCCAGGGCTAGTTTTATGGGGCCAGTAATGAACCAGGAGCTCAGACAGTTCCTGATGGGAGCAGCTGGGATGGGGGGACCCTGCCGAGGGGAATGTGCCCCCGCTTGCCCCAAGCCTGGCGCTTCGCTCATTACCTCTCCCATCCAGAGGCCTTTTACTAGCTGTTTATTGGATGTGTGGTGCTGGCAGACATGCGGCCTGGGCAGAGGCAGAGTCTGGACCCAGTGGGTGTGCTGGGCCCCAGGCTGGGGGGAGTGGGGGGCTGCTGGCCAAGGAGGAGGGGCTGGATTTTCAAAGCAAGATCCTAATGCTTTGCCACTGCTTCTCGTCTTCCCTAACTGGCCTCCATGGGACTTGAGTTCATCAGGTGCCTTGTTCTGCCCTCATCAGGCCACATCTGGAGAATGATGTTCGGTTCTGGGCACCTCATTTTAGGTAGGACGTGGATAAGTTGGAAACTCTCCAGAGGAGGGCAGCCAGGCTTAGGAGGAGCCTCACGTCTATGCCAAATAAGATTAGTTGGAGCAAGGAAGAGAAACTCAGCCTTCAAGCAGGTACTCATATCCCCCAAAGCTCTGTCCTGGGCCCCTCTTCTCCTCTCTATTATTTCACTTGGTGATATCATCAGCCCCTATGGATTCAATTAACACCTCTATGTTGATGATTCTCAGATCTGTTTGTCTAGCCCTGACCTCCTTCTAACCTCTAATCTCACATTTTCAACTGCCTATTGAATATCTCCAACTGGATGTCCAAAACAGAACTCATTACCTTTCCCCCTAAACCCTCCCCCCACCTCCACCTCCTCTACTACTGTAGAGGGCAACACCATCCTCCCAGTCCCACAGGCTTTTAACCTAGGACTTATCCTGGACTCCTCACCATATCTCAACCCCCATATCCAATATGGTGCCAAGGCCTGTCAATTTCACCTTTGCAACATCTCTTGTAGATTTCATCTCTCCAGCATCTCTTGTAGATTTCCCTTCTATAGCATCTCCCACAGGCAACATCTCTCATCAATTTCACACAGCCCTGCCTTGCAGCTTCTCTCCAATATGCCCCCTTCTCTCTTCTAATACTGCCTACACTCTGGTCCATGCCATCATCAAGTCATGCCTAGATTACTGCAATAGCTGCTGGTGAGTCTGTTGCCTCAAGTCTCTGCCCACTCCAATCCATTATCCATTCCACTATAAAATTGATCTTTGACATTTCTCTCTCTCTCTCTCTCTCTCTCTCTCTCTCTCTCTCTGTGTGTGTGTGTGTGTGTGTGTGTGTGTGTGTGTGTCCCTCTCTGTGGGTCTATGTGTGTGTCTCTCTAGCTCTGTCTTTATCTGTCATACACATACACATACACACACACACACACACACACACACACACACACACACCACTCTTCCAGTGCCTCCCTATTACCTCCAGGATCAAACATAAAATTCTCTGTCTGGATTTTAAAGCCCTTCATAACCTGGCTCCCCCTTCCCTCTCAAGTCTCCTTACATATACTCCTCATTTCACCATAGACTCTGTGATCCAGGGACATCAGCCTGCTGGCTGTTTCTCAGACAAAACACTCTGTCTCTCATCTCCAGGCATTTCACTGGCTGTCCTCCATGCCTAACACTCTCTCCTCCTCCTCCTCCTCCTTCTCCTCCACTTCCTATAGGTCTTAGCTTCCTTCAAATCCCATCTAAAATCTCACCTTCCCAGCAATACCACTTCTAGGTCTATATCCCAAAGAGTTCATAAAAATGGGAAAAGAATACACATGTACAAAAATATTTATAGCAGCTCTTTAAGTGGGGGCAAAGAATTGGAAATTGATGGGATGCCCATCAATTGGGGAATGGCTGAACAAGCTGTGGTTTGTTAATACTATTATGCTATAAGAAATGATGAGCAGGCAAAATTCAAAAAAACTTGGAAAGACTTACATGAACTGATACAGAGTGAAATAAGCAGAACCTGGACAACATTGTACACAGTAACAGCCACATTATGGGATGATTGACTTTGATAGTCTTGGCCTTTCACAGCAAGCAAGAATCTAAGACAACTACAAAAGATTCATAATGGAAATTGCTGTCCACGTCCAGAAGAAATGTGGAATCTGAATGCAGATGGAAGCATACTATTTGCTCTCTTTTTCCTTTGTTGTTTTGTTTTATTGCTTCATTCTTGTGGTTCCTCCCATTAGTTCTAATTATTCTTTACATCATAACTAATGGGAAAATATGCTTCACGTGAATGTATACGTAGAGGATACATTGAATTGTATGCCATCTCGGGGGTGGGGAGAGAGAAATGGGAAACTTAAAACTCAAAATCTTATGGAAGTAAATGTTGAAAACTAAAAACAAATAAATTTTTAAAAATAAAATAAAATCTCACCTTTTTTCCTTTTCTTAGTCCCTTTCCTCTGTTGATTGTTTCAGCATGCCCCAAACCAAACTTCACATCTTTTCTCCAAAACAGCCTGCCTTCCAGACATCCCCATTTTGGTGAGTGACATTACCATTCTCCCAGCCATCCAGGCTGAAAACCTTGGCTCCCTCTCATCACCCACATCAAATACATGACCATATCCTATTGATTATTTTTTAAATACAAAAATTTTTAAATATATAAAAATAATAAAATAAAATAGAAAAATAATAAAATAAAAATATAAAAAATAAACATAAAAATGTTTGAGAAAATAAATGCTTATTGATTTTTTTAGAAAAAAATAAAGTTTGATTGCTTTACCTTCTGTTTTGGCACATTCATTTTTGGAAATAGCTCCCTCTGCCCCCCCCCATTCAAAATGAACCATCCCTTACGGCATAAAAAAAGCATTCTTCTGATACATTCTCATTGACATTGCTGAATTCACTGTGGATGTTGTTCTCTGGGGTCTGCTTTCTTCTTTTCTCAACATCAGTTTCCAGAAATCTCCCTATCTCTTGCTCTAATTTTTTTTTCTTTCTCTCATTTTCTGTCTCATTTTTTTTTTTTTGGTCAGGATCTGCAGAACCTCTAGTGAGGGGACTCCTTCCACCATAGATAAGTTCCTCCTCAGCGACTTAATGTGCTTGAGAACTGCCTTGAGCAGCCCTGA